CTCTCTCTCTCTCTCTCTTTCTTCTTCTTCTTCTTCTTCTTCTTCTTCTTCTTCTTCTTCTTCTTCTTCTTCTTCTTCTTCTTCTTCTTCTTCTTGAGCATTTTCATTTCGCCTCATTTCTGACACTTATGTCTTTCACTGCTGCAGGGAATTGTTCTGAAAGTTGGCTGTGGAGAAAAAAACATGTTGCTCTCATTTCCAGAAGATGCCTCATGGGGCTGTCAAATACCACTAGATCAAAGAACAGGCAGAGGAGTCTTGCTACAGGTACGGTCCACACTCAGCCTGGGCCTTTCAATGGTTTCCCAGATTTCTAGAAGTCATTTTGGTGCCAGGGAAGTTATTCTCCTTGAGTTGCTCAACGATAGGCTTAATATCAGTGTCCTTTGCCTCATGGCTGCTACCTTCTTCTCTGAGGTGGGCTGTTGATTGTCTCTTTCTTATGAGATGGGATCCCCATGGAACCCAGGTTGGACTTCAACTTGGATCCTCCATCCTCAACCTCCTGGTGCTGGGGTTAGGGTTAGGGTTCAGGCCCCCTATTCACTTTCTGAACTTTACCCCCATGATGAGGTTGCCTGTTAGTGAAGAACCTGTGTGCTGTTACTTTGAAGGATAGCAGGAAAGAGAACATGTGAGCTTTTGGCCGTCCCCTTTCAGGGCTGCATGTGGACCTGGAAGTCCCCTAAGAGGGAAGTGCTTGGAGGGTGAGGGTGTGGCTCTGTTTCCACCCCAAAACCTACTCACCATTGTATGGAAGTGACTTTGGTGTCACTACCTTGTGAGCAACTGAACTGTCAGTCTCCTTGCTGTAACCACAGTGTCACCCCAGCCCCCCGTTCCTTTTCTTCTTGCAGCCCCAGATTCCCTGTGTGTCTAAGCCAAGATGATCAGAGGGAACCTCCGAGCCTCCCACCCAGACTCCTGTTGCTCTGTGCCATTCCAGTAGCTCTGGGCCTTCTCTCCTAACTCCAGAGCCAGCATTCTCAGCTCCTTCCCAGTTGTGGATGAGGCAGTGGGGTGGGGCGGAAGTTCCCTTTCATCCTGGCTTTGGTCCCAGGGCAATATCACCTGATCACGTGGAGGATGCAGGAGTCATTCACTGCCTGTCACAGACTGCTTTTGTAGCTGCCTTTCTTATCCTGAATACTTTTTAAATATTTCTCATATGTAGTTTTCATGTCCTTCTCACCAGTTTTTACAGCTGGAGGTTGCAGATTCCACCTTATACAAAAAAAGTTGCACAATTTTGTTAATTTTTCAAATGTTTCATTCTAGATTGCTATTTTCCAATTTGGGTCACATTCTGTCTTAGGTACTGAGGATACAGACATGATTACTGTACTACAGATGAAATATGTTATTCTGTGAATTTTCCGTTTTTAGCTTATATTTTCATCTATTATGTAGTGGTCATTTGTTATTTTTATTTCAATTGAAACCCTTCTCAAAATTTTAAATAGAGGTAATATGTTAGTGAGCCTGTGAGAAAAACTAGGAATAATTGGTTTTGTTTTGTTTTTTCTTTTAGAATGTCAAGCAAAAATACAAGGACAGTAAACCGTGTCCCTGGGTGGGTGAGTGGGTACAAGCAAGTGCCTCTCCATATGCTTGACCTGATCTTGTGCAGTGCCCCAAGTGCCCACTGGGTGCAAGGTACAGGACTGGTAGTTCCTTGCTCTAGGCTGAAGAACTGTGTCTCAGCCCCGGGTATGGAAAGTCAGAGACATCGCTGAATAGAAACCGCACTGCTGATGATGATCCTTGCACCTCATGTTTCCTGTACGACTCTCGCCATCTACTTTTGTCATGCGCAGCTCTCCCATTCTCGTGAGCATCAGGGACTGCGAAGCCACAGCCCCAGGAAGCGTCCCCTGGCTCTTCCTGCCTGAAGTGGGCACAGCACCACTGCATGTTTCCCTGAGACCTAAAAACCACCTGGAGGGAAGCTGAGTGCTCCAGAGCAGGATATTGAATCCTCCCTTCTTTACTATTTCTTAGGAGAGATTTTCCCCATGCCCAATTGATAAGGAGGACACTGTGATGGAGACCACGAAACCAGTCACATTGGTGGCTCTTGGGAATCTGCTTGCCTGCAGGAGGCAGAAGGGTAGTGGCCCCAGGGCTCTAAGCACCATATATCTTACACTTTGTTTCTTTTTTAGTCACCCCTAGTTGATAACAGGTTACGATTTGAGCATCTACTGTATCTCATATTTAAATTTTCTTTATTTATGAGCTACAATTCTTAAGAAAGGGCAGAAGGGCAGAAAGGGAGACTGTAGAATGACTAATGGAGGGTGAGCAGGGCTGGGGCCGGACTTCCTGTTGTGTGTGGGGCTATGTGTTGGGTAGCAGTCTTCTTGGAAGTTGGAATGCACCCCAAAGGGGCCCCTCCATTCAGCGGGCATGAGGTGACTGGGAAACC